ATCTGGGAGGTACCCAAAAAGTCGACTTTTTGGGTACCTGCTTTGGTGATGATGGGTTGGGTCATCGCGAGAAAGCGATCGATTCAGCAGATGTCCGGGCGCTGAGGTGACTTTTTGGGTACGTGCTTTGGGGATGATGGGTTGGGTCATCGGGAGAAACCGATCGATTCAACACAAGTCCGGGCGCCGAGTCGACTGTTGGGGCGCTGCTTTGGTGGTAATGGGTTGGGTCGCCGGGAGAAACCGATCTTTTCAGCACAAGTCCGGGCGCCGACCCTTGCGGCACTTGATTGTATCCGAGACCATGGGCAGCGCCCTGCGGGCAAGAGCTGACGTCCGATGGTAAATCGGTGCAAGAGATCAGGTATAGTAAACCTGGGAGGTACCCAAAAAGTCGACTTTTTGGGTACCTGCTGTGGTGGTCATGGGTTTGAATTTTTAGGCAATGATATCCTGTGGGGAGAAGGGTTCAGCATCACCGGGCTCATGCAAGCGATCACGTCCGATGGTAAATCTGGGAGGTACCCAAAACGTCGACTTTTCGGGTACCTGCTTTGGTGGTGATGGGTTAGGTCACCGGGAGAAACCGATCGATTCAGCACAAGTCCGGGCGCCGAGTCGACTTTTTGGGTACCTGCTTTGGTGGTGCAGGGTTGGGTCTAAATTCTTGGGCAATGATCGGGGTTCATGCAAGAGCTGACGTCCGATGGTAAATCTGGGAGGTACCCAAAAAGTCGACTTTTTGGGTACCTGCTTTGGTGGTGCTGGGTTGGGTCTGCACTCTTAAGGCTGAGGCTAAGGCTTAAGGCTAAGGCTAACATAGAGCAAGGCTAGCGCTAAGGTTCTATCCCTTGGGGGTCGGCCGCTGCAGGCGGTAGCCTGGTAAATATAAATATATAGGGTACACATGGTACATGTTAGAACACAGTGCAATTACTGTAGAATACTATGCAAACATATTCTGGATATATATATATATATATGTTGCACAAGCAGTATTTCTATGTATTACGTACTGTAAATTTATGAATATAAGTCTCCACACAGTATATTATTATGTATTAGTTGCAGGGCAAATAACTATGCATGCAGCATCTATCTTGCATCGTGACACCTGAAACCATCTAAACGTCCATGTCTATGTAGGCTGCATTGATGCCAGCCCCGCCGTTGCGGACGTCGCAGGCAGGGGCACGTGGCAGGGGCAACATCCCTCGCGAACCAGCCAAGCCACGCACGCTGGCCAAGTTGGGGTCTGCTTCTGCCACTGCAGCACATCTGGGACACCTGAGTCCAAACACCAATGGATTCATCACATCGATGAGTTCACGCGAGAAAAACCCGAGTCCAACCATGGGGGGTTTTAGTTTGTATAGGAGTATGGAAGGTTAGGGTGGGCCCTGTTCCCTGTTTGCGGGTGGGATTGATATTCTTTCAGTGTTGGAAACCTCCAAGCTCAGCTGTGAGAGAAAACACCAGCAGACAGCTTTCCACCAGCACGGCAGCACATCCCGAGTTCGAAGCCATACCTGTTGAAAGAGAAATCCTTCCACACCATGGAGGAACACCCCGCGATTTCTTGCCGACACTCAACCCCTGGGGTCGAAGTGAAGACTCTTGACTAATAAAGCCTCCAAACATGGATTGTAACACCTGTTCATATGGCAGGGGTCGAAATATCAAGAGTACATATGTCTACATTCTACTTGATTAATTAACCCTGTGTTCCTACCAATCAAGAACATATGGCAGGGTCCTTCTACATCAGGGTCTACGGGTCTACATCTAAAGAACTCTTCTGTGTGGTCCGAAAGCCCATCTCCAACCCATCGAGCAAAGGCCGACGGGCCGACAGCGTCTCGCCCTTTTTGGGGATGGCGGTCAGTGCAGGTCGATCCCGCGCTGGTTGAAGGCGCTCCAGGTTCGCGGGGGAAGGAAGGCGTTCTGCATCAAAGCCTCAGGGCGTTCTGCGGATATTCAAGGTATTATGATGTATTATGTATAAACGCTTAAAGTAAGATTATAAGACACATGTAGTATTACTATAAGTCTCTGAACATAAGCTGTTTTGACTGGCTGAACGCCCTCTGAAGGATCGATGTCGAGGGGAGTTTCTTTTCCGCGTCTACCGTTTCGTCACCGTTTCGTCGTACCGACAGATAGGGAATGTGGAGCTGTTGATAAGTCTGTCCACTCGCCCCATGTGAAGAGGCTTTACAACAGGGAGATGGTATAACATATTTAAGTCTATATGTTCCACTCGCGTTCCATGGATGGAAGTGCGTTCCACCCCTGTTCATCTTCGATCTGTGTTCGGCAAAACAGCTGCCGGTTTGCACCCAAACGAACCGGCCAGTTCAGCTCAGACACTGCCAGGTCAAGAGGAGCACCAGACCCACAGAACCCAGGAACGATGCCTGACGAGTGGATGCCGGCCTGGTCGTCTTCACCATGTACTGCCAAAGAAGGAGGTCCTAAACCGTTTGAACCCAACTTCACTGGGGTTCTCCGGGTTCTCTTCATTGGACCCAAAAAGGCGGCAGGGGATCTATTCTTTTTGCCAGGTCATGGTCATGGACCTGGCGGCTTCCATGGAAGAAGGGTGAAAGAAGGTTCTCCAGTGACTGGAAAGGACCGTTTGCGCGAATGGCTGCAAAGGACCTGAGAAGGACCGTCAGCATGTTGACAAGACTGTTCTGCTGGGAGGTCCTTCTTCAATCAAGAGCATCAACAAGAAAAACGGATGCATTGGGTATATTCCCCAGCATTCCCATTACCAGTGTGGCTGATGATGGTTAGGTTGCAGGCCTAGACCCCTTCCTGTAACTGGCTTACTCGGACACACCCTACGAATGCTTTGAGGACACCCTACCGTCCAAAGACGAGCGCCGTTCACCACTACCCTGTGCCGCCATGAAGAACAACCGCCCTGCGCCTGAGATCGCTCTTCCCACAAGGTCTGGCAGCACCTCGAAGGTTTAGACTTCAAAGAAAACAACACCAATTTCCAGGCCGCTCATGGATCGCGAGGGTTTGGTTGAAACACCCAGGCCCAGGCCCGGTGGTTTTTCAAGAAATGACCACAAATGAATCATGCTTGGTGAGAGAACCGACCGTGGTTGATTTGTCAGGTCGATTTCAGCCAAACACCAATACAAGCTCCAAGGAAGGGACGGCATCGACCCGGGACCCTCACCGGACGCTGCGAGTCCGGTCAGTCACGAACTGATGAGCAGGATGAGCAGATCTTTGGCATCCTCTCCTCTCCTTCTTGTCCAAATCGTAGTACGTCCACTCAAAGAAATCAAGCAATAACAAAGAATCAGCAACCAAAGACAACATGTGAAGGTTTCAGCAAAACCAAACCGTAGATAAACAACAGTCAGGATAAAGTGAACAGAAACGACACAATCACTATGAGTTTGACCACTTCCACAAATGACCCATGGGATCAGCACAAACAAAATACCAACCCTTTTCAAGCTTGGCCATGACTCAAAATGTTGAGAGTAAACATCCAAACCCTCTCCAGCAAGGGCTGTCCATGAACCACCGCGACTGAGGATCTGGCTGGTTTAAATTTCAACACATCACTATCTCATCACCCAACTCTCCGGTCTTGCAAGACAGACCTCTGGCACCAACATCGGTTTTCGAAAGCCGGGTGGATGTTCTTCATGTTCCTTCGCGCCCTCAAGGCCTTCAAGATCCCCAAGTTGGAGCCTCCAAGGCCTCCAAGATCCCCAGGGCCTCTTCACCGAGTTGCTCATCGTAGGCGCCTTTCTCACCCTTCATCTCCTTGGCCCGCGCAGCGCCCAGCTGCTCGGCGAAGGCACGGCAGTCACGGCGGCGGTCGAAGAAGACGCGGCGCACCGTGGGGAACTCCTTGTCCAAGTCGCCTGCAGCTCCGGTCCATGGGGAAGAGATTTGCGGGTGGTTGAGACACGTTATGTAATAGTTCTATAGTTCTTAGGACTATGAATGGGAAGTGGCGTCTTGATGGCTTGAAATGGCTTGAATATGAACTGATAGGGTGAAAGTGTTCTCACATGCTTGGACATATACAGTAAATACAAACTTGGAATCAAGCAAAATGCAAGTGTTTAAAAAAGTACCACACAAATGGAATAACATGGAATAACCAAGATCCCTGTTTGTTCTCCTCCGACTTCGGCCAATTGGTCCGACTGAGCCCTCTGTTGATGGGTCGATGAAAGCAGGAAGCATAGCCGCCCTTACTATCCACAACAGTTGAGTGTGCAATAGAATAGGGAGACCGCTGGGCGGCGTTCCAAACTCCTAGGACTGGTTCAGATAGACTCAGACCAGTCTACCCAGCCAGGGACTAGGGGTCTCCCTATTCAATACACACCCAGTCTTGAGTAATAACTCCCCCCAATATGAAGGGTGTTTCAATCCAAATGAGGTTGTATTGATTAAGAGTCTACTAAGTGCATCGCTACTAGTAGCTTCTTGCTACTAGTAATGCACTTGTTACTAGTAGCGATGCACTTGTTTCTAGTAGCAAGAAGCTACTAGTAGCAAGCCACATGAAGCCACCAGACTTCCTTGAGATCTGACGACGCCCTGGGGCCACCTGAAGCACTCCGAAAACCTCTCTGCCACTCCGAAAGCCGAGCTGGAGACTCCATACCCCCACCCGGCTTCCATCCCCCACACCCTCCAAAGATTCCATTGTTGTGGTAGAGATGGTGCAATACCTAGATTTATAGACAGGACCTTTGTCTTGATGGGGAAAGACCGTGTTTAGGGCTCCAAGACAGGGGTCACGTGAGTTCCAAAGGCATATATGGGCGGGCACAGCAGCTATCAGCAGCTGAGTGTCCCAGTCTGGTTCCTCCCAAGCACCCAAAAAGGACACGTTTTCCAAGGACAGGTGAAAAGAACAGCTGGGTTTCTCCCAAGCCAAATGGGCCTCTCAAAAAAAAGAGGCTCCTTCATGACCGTGATATCTCACATAACTTCCGGGGCATCTCACATACTTCCTGGGCATCCCAGTGGTGCTTCCTGGGCATCTGTGCTCCTAGGCTTCCAAGACCAATTGTTTTAATGGCCTTTACCGAACCACCATTGTTTTACTAAGGATTTTACACTATGCAACCAGGTCAACCGAACTCTTTGAATGGTCGAACGGAAGCCTAGGGTGCTTCCAATGCTCATTTTCTGTCAGCATCCTCGCCAAGAGACACTCTTGAGCAAGCGCCACAACCAGCTGGCGGTTGGTGTAGTGAGTCTCAGCCTGTTTCGCAAGCGGAGCAAGCGGAGGGGGGCAATGCAACTCCATTGGACGTTGGAACAGGAGCCTCTGTAAATACAGTAGGTCCATTGCTGTCCAACCACTCCGCATACAAACAAATTGATGCATTTGTAGGTCTTGCTTCCTAACCAACATGTTGGTGAACGACTTCATCCAGCTTCAGTCTGTCACCAGCACCACCTCACCTCGTTGTATGTATACAGTAACTTGGGATCACTTCTCAACCCGCTGATAGTCCGCCTCTGGGTTGCGCCAGCTTTGATGGCCCCGCGGACATACGGACGTGACACGTCACGTTTTGGCACCACACCTTCTTGACCACGGCCTTCAGCTTCTCTTGGCACTCAGGTAGGTAGGCGCTGTAGGCCTACCGGCCGGATCAACCGCGTGATTTAGCTCGACGCGAGACCGAAGAAGCGGCGTGGGATGACATTTCTGCCGGAGGGAAGGTCCAAAAGCTCCTGTTAGTCCACCCCATGTTCGTGGCTTTGGGTCAACCAGTCTTACATTGAGGTCTGGAATCCTGTAGGGCAATCGCTTTCTTGAGGAAGCCGATGCGGCATCGGCCGATGACGCCCGAGAGGCGCGGCGGGTGATCAGGCGATCCGGGATGAAGGAGGCTCCATCGATTGGTACACTCCGACCACCATGGGCTGTTTCCCTTCAAAAAGAGGTTAACCAAACTAACTCCATAGGAATTGATATGGCTCTGGGGTGCCACCAATATCCGGAAAAAATGGGTGACCTGCAAATGATCCACTTTTCCGGGGTAGGCAATGGACATCACCGGCTGATAGGTTCTGGGATGAACGAAAGTATTGCCTCGACATGAATGGGCAAAGAATCAACATGAATCAGCTACTGCTGCTAATGTCACTTCATCCTGTCAAGCAGATTCAAGAAGTATCTTCTCAAGTTTCAAGCCTACTCAACCTCTATATAGAGTGAGCATTCATCAGGTTATCACCCGCTTCATTGATTTCTGGACACATGCAACGCGCGTAGGTGC